AGCCCCAACCGTACTTGGAATATAATTATTTTTATAATTACATGTAGGCTTTACCAAACCCAACCCCAAACCCAAACCCAAACCCAGTTATAAATTGAATATTATTATGTAAAACAATGTTATAACATTCAATATCTTTTAAATTATTTTCTAATTTTGTTTTGAAAATACAAAAAATATCTGATTTCATTTTGCATTCTTGTAATTACTAACTTTCAATTAAAGGTCCTTTTAATTTTAAATTTGGATTATTTTTAATATATAATTAAAAAATAGGCCCGTAGAAATAATTAGATAAAGTTATCATATTGCTTAACAACTATTTTTCATAATAGGAATTAATTTATAATAAATTACATTAATTATAAATATCTATTTATAATTAGCATTCTACAGTTTTATTATCAAATTAAGATACCAGTTAAATAAGATAATTTTAATTTACTAATATTGTGCTTTGAGTAGAATTCAAATTGTTAATCTCAATAGTTAAAGTATCAATGTTTATTTGTTTTATTTGATTGTTTTCATCTTAATAAATTAAATATTGATCTTTTATAAAAAAGTATAAATTATTAATTTTAATACTTTTAATCCAATAAATTTAGTGCTAATTCTAGAAAAACAAAATAAGTAAGTAAATTTAGTCAAATTTAGAAGCACTCAATAATACTTTATTGTAATGAAATTAGTACACAAGAGGACGAATCAAGTTAAAATTTTCGAAAGTTATATTTTTGGAATGATATATCTGATAATTATTGATATAGAAATAAATTAACATACTTTAAGATCTATGTACACCAAACACTTGAGCTCCAAGATTAAATGGTAATATTTGAATAATTTATATATCTTTTATTTTGATATAATTTAATTATTATTCTTATTGTAATAATAAAAAATCTTAATATTAGATATATGTTTTCTTTTTTGTATTTTTAAAATACTCTATTTCTTCATTTAAGAATAGCTCTTCAATTAATTAATATTAATTTAATAAAGCTATATGTGGAATTATATTTATTATGATTGGAAGCTTATCTTTACTTTTTATGATAAAAATCTTATCAAATTATTATATTTTATCTGGAGTGTATTACAGTTAATATTTTTAGATTATTAAACAACCTTATGAATCAATTTCTAATACTTTAACTTAATCAACTCCTTTCTTAAACAAAAAAAATATGTCTTGTTTTTAATATATTTCTATTCCATTTACTTTTATTGATAAATTTTGGCATTCATTTTTACAAGAAAAATATCTTAAAATATCGTTTTTTAGATATAGAACTGAAGTGTTTGAATATGTTAATAATATTTAATTAAGCTTATTGAAGTGAGGAGTACATTTTTAAAGTTCATCAAAAATATTTTGATTATAAGAATTTTGTTATAATAATTTTGGAATTTATAATTCATAAAATGTATTATTGTATTTCATAAAGTGTTAGATATTAACAAAACTTTAAGGTTGGCATTAATTTGATGCTGAAGCCAATATTTGACATTTTCTTTCCTATTCTTACTTTGTTCTAATAATCTTATAACATAATAAAAAGCGTATTGAAAAAATACTTTCTTGAATTTCAAATACAAAAAGAAATTATTTTTATGGTTTTATGAATTATAAAATTTCATTATACTAATAGAATTAAATTTATCTTGATTCTTCATCAATTTAATAAAAGTAATTAAGTTTTTAAATAAATTTAATTTTTTTATTTGCAATTTGAATAGTGTAATTAATAAGAGGTGTAAATAATATAGAAATTTAATTTTCATTTTAAAAAAATAAATGATTATTTACATAATTCATTTCAAAAGAGCTATTAAAATTGATAAAAAATTGAATATTCTTAATTAAAATTTATCCTGTGTTTGATTCTGTGATTGATAAAATTTAATAACAATTTTAATTAAATACTATTTTCTTAATTTTACTTTAAACAAAAATTTAAGATTTTATCTCTTATCTTTTTGAATTAAATAAGACATAAAAATCATTTTCAATTAAAGTTATAAAAAATTGATTAGAAAAAGAGCAGATTTAAATATCTTTTAATTATTTAATTTAGCTGGTCATATTTATTTATTATAAGATAGTTTAATTTAGTAATATTTGACTAGAATTATTATTAAAATATATAATATTCCAATTTTCACATTAAAAAAAAGCGAATACAAATTAAAAATCTTGTAAATCTTAATAAAACCTTTAACATGAAGTTATATTTAGATTTGAAAAGTCAAATTATTATAAAAGTTAAGTTTAATTATCTTGAATAGAAACTGAATAAATGTTAAGATATTTAAATGTGTAACAGAAAACAATAAATAAATTATTTTAATTTCCAAAGAATTCTTCACAAATTTCATCAGATTTAGAATTAATTTCAATAATCTAATTTTAATATGAATCAATTGTATTTTTAGTTAATCCCAAAAAACTTGTATAAGTGATAAAATAAGTGGATGATTTCATTAAATTACAAATCCACTTTTCAAATTTTATTTTACTATTTAATGGTTCAATGACTTTTGATTAAATTACTTATCCTTAATTATATAATGATATCTAAAATGATTTTTCTATTATCTTTTAATTAATTCTATATTCAACTTAATCTTCTTTTTCATCATCTTATTCTATCATAAAAGGTTAATTTATTGCAGTATAAAATATCTCCTCATCTTCAAGCTATAAACTTTTACATTTCTAAGATAGTAATTAGATGAAATTCAAAATAATGACCAAAAAAATAAATAACATGATTGTAAAATTAATTTATGAATAATTATTATTCAATCATTTTATATTTATATATTCATGAAGAAAATATGATTTTTTTGTTTTCATTAATAAAATTAATTTAGATCTAGATTATTATTTTTAGTTATTTAAAGCTAACCATTTCATAAAAACATTATATATTGAGTTTGATAAGAAGGTTTAATTTATATAATAAATATTTTGTTAAGAATACTACTATTATATCCTTCATTCTTATAATATTGTAATTCTTGACTATATTTGCAAACTCTGTTAATGTAAAGAATAAATCTATTTTTATTTATCAATTACAATTTTTTTCCAAAATTTAACCAGGTGTTGAATACTTACTAACAATTACGCTAAGAATAAATAATTATTTATTAATAAATGTAAAATAGTGTTATGCTATGATTATTAAATAACAGATAAATAACCATTAGAATAACAATGTTGAGATTGTATTTTTTAAGCCAGAAACACATTTAAATAAATTCACGTATTTTAAACATTACTATTTTTAAGCATTATGTTAGAGATAAAAACAAAAAGATCTTTAAAATTGGGAATATACCACAAGAATAATCTTTTTCTTTTTACTTTTGAAGTGAATAAATTATTATATCTATTAAAAGATATTAAAATTGATCACCCAAATATATTTATTGTCCAAAAACTTATTATAATTAATTATCCATTAAATAATTAATTAAGGGGGTGATGTAATACTTTTTTTCGAAATAAAAATATATTTTTTCATTTCAAAGTTCAAAAACCTTCGTCGACTTAAGTTTTGAAGCAAGATTAAAATGTGAGAGTGGGTGATCTGGGGATTTTTTTTAATTATTAATAAAATTTAAGTGTAAAACTTATTTTAATAAATTTTTCAACTATATTATAATTTTGAAAGAATACTTAACCAAAGATTTTAATAATAAATTAACCCAAAATTATAGATTTAATATATAAAAAATAATTAATTACTTAACTCTCCAAAGCTATCTTATCTTATTTAAATTAATAGCAAAGCTTTTGATGATGAAAATAATCAAATTCTTCTTGATATAATTGAACTGTTAAAAAGGAATAATTACACTTCTTCTTATATAACTTTGAAATCTACTAAAAAACTAATTCATAAAAGGATTTTTTACAGAACATCAATAGAGATTCAAATGAATTGGTCAATTGCTTTTTTTTTGTAATTTATTTGATATTAAAAATTATGATAAAATTACAGTTTTACTGCAAAACCGGTTTACAATTTTTAGAATCTCAATAAGATTTTGAGCAAATTTTTAAGGTCTTTTATAAAAAAAATAGCAAATTCTTTCATAAAAGTATTAGCATAAGCTATCATGGCTTTATGCTTTCATTTTAAATTATAATTTAAATCAATTTTCAAAAAAAAATGCTTGAATTATTTTTAGCAGCTTCTTAAGCTAAAAATTAAAAAATTTCTATTTGTTTTTTAGGTAAAGTTAATAGTTATGAATATTTAAATCACATTGTTTAATTATGAAAAAACATAAATACCATTTTTTTAATTTCAATATCAGTGGAATATTCATAGTTCGAAATTGTCATAGTTTAATTCAAATTTTTGATCATGATTGTATTTATAATCAGGTTAGAGATGATTAAAATATATATTATGCATCTATTGAAGGTATAAAGGAAATATATAGTATTTAAATGATTAAAGAAAATCCTTTTGTTAATAATATTGGATTAAATATTTAAGAGGATTAATTATATGAGACCATTTTCAATGAATTTAATGAGTATAATTTGAAATATATAAAGAAGTGTAGAATATCAAAATGAATAGCTTTATTGATATAAAAAATTTTAATCGATTTAAATTAGAAATATAAAAATTATAAAATATTTTTTTTGTTCTTTGATATAGGACTATTATAAAATATTTAATAAGGTTATCTTATAAATTTTACTCAGCTATCCCTAATCGATTCCATAGTTTTTAATTTTTAGTGAAACAAAGATCAAAATTTTTTCATTTTCTTTCTTAATTAATTCATGAATAGAATTTATTAAAAAATAGGAGTGCATTAATAAGTTAAGTAGTATTAAAGGGGATTCAACAAAACGAATCAACCTTTTTTTTTGGATTTATTATTTGCTATAATTTTAAATTTATTAATTGAGTAGTTGCTTCAAAAATCAGATTTTTGTAGTAAGTTATAAGCATGAAAAAGCCTTCTTTAGCATTTTTTGAAAGATAGTGTAAAAGTTGTTGTAGATTTAAAATAAATGAGAACTAAGATATATAATAAAATGATCACAGATAAAATTTGATTTTAATGAGATTATTACATTTGAATAGGATTAGAAATATAGCAAATAATGAATAAGAATGAAGTAAATAAGAAGTAAATTATAAGTATTTTGAATAAGAAAACTTTGAGTTAAGTATTTAACTTGAGAATTTTAATTGGAATCGGTAATGATTCATTATTATAAATAAATTAATTATGTAGTCTAAGTTGTTAGTATATATAAGAAGTGAAATCAGCTTGATATAAAAATCTTAGTTTTTAAAATAATTTGATTGAGATGGGTATATGTTAAACAACTCAAATAAAAAAGGATGATAACTTACAGAATTTGCAAGCACCTATACTGTACACAAAGAAATCTCCATAGTTAGGAATGCATAATGCATATATTGAAAATCTTCCATTTATAGATGAGTTTAGTCATGAGTAAGAGTAATGGAAAGTTAGAAGAGCTTAACATAGATATAATAATGATATTATATATAATGGATAGTGGATGGGAAATAAAAGAAATGGAATAGGTAGATTAGATTGGGGAGGTAGTGTATTATTGTAAAATAGATGGAAGTTATTATGAGGGGAACTGGAAGAATGATTAAATAGATGGTAATGGCAGATTTGTAAGTAAAAATTTTGTTGTAGAAGGATAATGGTAAACAAACAAATTGAATGGTTATGTTATATACAAAATTGATGATATATATAAGTATGAAGGATATTGGTAAGAAGATTGCAAACAAGGAATAGGAAAAGAATAGTATGATGATGGCAGTCATTATATTGGCAATTTCAATCAAAACGTTAAATCAGGTATTGGAATATATATTTGGAATGATGGAACTAAATATGAAGGAATGTTCTAAATGGATTTATTAAATGGATAAGGACTATTAAAATGGTCTAACGGAAGCTATTATTAAGGAGAATTTCTTAATAATTATTTACATGGACAAGGATGCTTCTAATGGAATGATGGAAGAAAATATGAAGGAAATTATCTCTATGATTACAAAAATGGATATGGTAAGTATTTCTGGGAAAATGATCAAAAATATGAAGGATTTTGGAAGAATGATAAATGGAATGGTCATGGAATACTCACCAAAAATAATTAAGTCATTGAAGGTGAATGGAATTAAGGTAAATTGGAAACTAATAAATGAATTAATCAATATTTAGATATTTTATCCAATATTAAATATCAAGAATCTTAAAATTTAAACTTAATCTCTCAAATTATCTACAGAATTAAATCCAATTTTTTAATTTAGACAATCTAAATATGTATTTTGTTCAGAAAATAATATTTTTTAAATTTTTTTATCGTTAATATATTTATTTAATATATTCATAAATATTTAT